TTTTACAGGTTACTCAATAAAACAAGTGGCAGTTGTCAAGCCTCCCACTGGAGGGACTTGCAAGTGTGCAGTTGCCTCTCTACCAGCTGTGGCAGCTATAACACCCTTTGGGTGCTCTTGTTCTGGTTGGACGAATCCTGGTGACTTCAAAATCACCAGCTATGATTTTTACGGTGTGTTGAAGAAGTTGACCATTGGGTGTTGGCACCAGGATATTTTGTGGAACTACATTCCCCATCAGTGAAATATTTTTTTGCTTCATATATATGGTCTTGGGCAATGTTCCCAAATCTGTGGTCCATGGACTGAGGCTGATCCTCAGAAGTTTTTTGCCGGTCCAAGGGAAATTTTCTACAGTGTAATGAATCAAAAGTAGCTATGAAAGATATTATAGCACCTTAGCTGAAATTGCAACAATACAATGGCAGTCAATATTACCTCATGAAAATGAAATGTTTTTTCTCCTATTAACATGGACAAATTGTCACCTCATAAAATAATTATTTAAATTTTTAATTCTGTTAACCTTTCTTTGAGCCCATCTTTCTACTTTTTGAAGATATGTTACTATAGCTCCCACATGGGTTCTTAACTTTGCAAAAAAGCAGAAACATTTTAATTATACCTGCCATAAAGTCTTTCAGACAAAACTTTCTTGAGTCTGCAAAAATATTAACTTTTCTGGTTCAGAGAAAATTTTGTGAAAATTTACTGGTCTGTGACAAAATTTATGGAAATATGCCAGTCCATGGGCCCAAAAAAGATTGGGGAACAGTGATCTAGGGTATGGACTTCAATTTTTGCCCTAATGGGTTTTGGCAAACAAATAATGACCAAGCTAACAGATATAACAGCTAACAGGCTAAATGTCTTTACAGTTCCTGAATGGCTTGAAAATACAGTTAAATTTAGGAAGCATTAATTGGGAGCAACAATTCAAAATATACCTCAAGAAAGTTGGTTTAGGCAGTTACAATTAAGCTAACAAAGCTAATGCTTTAATCCTTCCTCTAATAGTCAGTTATTGTGAACCATTTCTACCAAAGGACACAAATAATCACAGCAGCAAAATTTTTTGCACTTCAACTTCAATCATAAACTCAAACCTTCCTTTGTCAAATAAGTCCGTATGCTGATTTTGTTTTATTCTCTCAGGAAAATGCATTGAAGACATCCCTAACTCAAAGGCTTTAAAATCAAACCTCCATAACTTGCATTTTTCTGGATGCTTTCTGACTATTATTTTACTGACACAGGAAGAAGAAAAGCTACAAAAATTTAAACTGGTGTGTTTTGAAAGGAAGTGAGAGAATAATTGGGAAAATAAGCCTCCAAGTTTAGCATCCTGTCAACTCATTCAAAATCAATTTAAGGCCCAAAATACCACCAATTAGAATATCTCAAAATTTCTCATATTTTCCTGAAAATGCTTGTTTCCCCAATTCAAAGCCTCTCTAACTCAAGTTTCATTGCATGGTACTTTGAATATTGACTTGTATAGGTTTGACTATATTTTTAGGTTTTCCAACATGCTAAATATATAATAAAATTCTAAACTATGAAAACTAAAAACTGTCCTTCTTTGACACTGTTTAATATTTTCATGTACGGCTACTCTACATGAGTTACTTTTTTCTTTCTTTTTCATTTTGGTTCAAACCAAAATATCCTGGCTGATGCCAAAATGCTTTCAGCATCACCCAAATGTTATAATTTGAGGCCTTTTGACCAAGAATGCATGTTCAATAATTGTTCCAGCTCTTGATGACTCAGTGCCACCACTCAGCTCAGTCTTGGGCTCAAGCTTGACTGGAGCAGCTATATCAGTGTACCCAGCAGCAAATGCCAAAGAAATACGTTGTGTCATCACAAATGACCAAGGAGCCAAAACAGATACCACAGTCCCTGTGTTTTCTCCTCCTGGTTCCACTACAGCAGGCACTATGAGTCTGATTGAACCATCAGCTCAGCAGATTTCAGATCTCATGGCCAGTGCTGATCTGGCAAAAATTTCAGCCACTAACCCTGGGTTGATGGCAAAGATTGGGGCCATTGCTGTTGCCATCTCTCTGAGTTCTGAGGAAACTGCTGTGAATCCTGCTGCCGCGGATGCTGGAGCCCAGCTTGATGCCTTGAGCAATGTAAGGTCTTTTTAAAATTATAGTGTTGATTCATTCATTCATCTGTTTTAAAAACTAACTAGAAAAAATGAAACATTTAATTCAAATGTTCAAAGGGGTACTAAACAGTATTTTGTAGCTATAGGCAAGGTAGTCAAACAACAAGTAGATTTTGAAGAAGTCTTGCTGAAAGATGCAAGGCTTCCTGGGAACAAATTGTAATAAACTCTAGATTAAATCAGGAGAAGATACAAAAGTAGATGCTATGTACAGGTACATGTGATATCAAGGACATCCAAAATTCCTTGAGCAATCATGAGTTCTGTATTCCATGAAATATTTGTTTATCTATTATATAAAAAATGAAACTGCTCACGAAAGCAACTATTCAGAGGGTGGCAAGTCATTTCCATCTGTCACTGTCATCAGTTTCATCACTCATCAGTAAAGGGCATATAAAGAAAATGAGCCATGCTTTAACTTGAAGTAACATGAAAATAGAGAGAAACAAAAACAAGGAAGGTTTACATTCTATACCTTATTGTTAGATAATTGAGCTGAGTGAAACCTGAAAACACACCAAGAATGTTTCTTGGATAACGCAACAAATTTTTTCTTGTTTCTGTGTGGGACAGATTCTGACATCTGCTTTGACAAGTCAGTCAAATGCAAATATTATTTCACCTGGTGCAGCTGTGGAAGCAGCTTCTTCACTGGCAGCAGTAACATCAGTGCTGTCTGGTGATGATCCCAGAGCAGCCAGTGTTGGTTTAGGTGCTCTGGATGCTGTTAAAACAATTGCAGCTGTGAGTAATTCTTCTCAAATGATTATTTTCAATTTTTTAAATGTTGAAAGTTTTACAGGGTATCTCAAGTGTGGTGAATGATCCAATAAACCCACCTAGTTTTGGACAGCTATCTCAGATTGCCAGCTCTTTGATGTCAGCATCTGCTGGTCTTGGATCTGTGAGAAAATTTCAGTCATTTTAATGTCTACTCAGTCAAAGGAGGTAACTTGACTAACTTTTTACTTTGAAAAGGCAATGGGGTCAGTAGTAGATAGTGGGAACTGTGACCAAGTTCCAGCAGCAAAGCTACTGAATTGCAGGGCACAAGACAATAAAATGTCTGTTGTTGATCCACCTTTTCCACCTGCTGGTAAGAAATTGATGTTTTCTTTCCATGCCTGTTCTTCTACACAAAATTTCACATGAGTGGTTTCTTTAACTTGCTAAGATTTTAGTAGGAATACAGTAAAGATGACTTTTCATTGACATTTGAATCCTAATAATCTGAGCAATGACTGCAAATACTTCCTCTGGAAAAAGAATTGTTATTGTTATATGATTGGATTTAATGGTCAAATTCTGAGGTTAACTGCAAAAATGACTTGAGAAGTTTTAGAATTTTGTCAACTACAGTATTACTTTTGCCTGTAAACAAATGAAAACAATTGAAGAAAGTTAAAAATTGCTGATCCTGTGCGTTTAAAACTGAAGGGTATATGAATAAACATTTCAAGGATTTTCAAAAATATAGGTTCATTTGGTCACTCAGTTCCTCTAGAAAAGCTGCAATTCAACTTCATTCCCATGATCTCTGAAAAAAGACTGTAGTGCAAAGACCACTTAAATTTGAGTTCTTATACATTTAGGGAAAGAAAAATGTTTGAGTTATATAAATCTAAAACAATGTTCCCCAACCCACAGTCTGCACCCAGCAAATAATTTGTTACAGGTATTGCTGCGCATAACAGTTACGCATTAAAAATGCATTTGTTATGCATAACTGTTATGCCCAGCTTCTTCTGAAATGCCTTTCTTTTTTCTGTGTTGCTGTACTGAAAGTTTTTTCTGAAATGCATTCAGAATGCGTTTTTTAATGCATTCTGTAGTTATGCCTATACTTGAAACATTTTTGATGAGCTTTTCTTGAGTGTAGCAGGCAGTACTCAGTGCCACCACTCAGCTCAGTCTTGGGCTCAAGCTTGACTGGAGCAGCTATATCAGTGTACCCAGCAGCAAATGCCAAAGAAATACGTTGTGTCATCACAAATGACCAAGGAGCCAAAACAGATACCACAGTCCCTGTGTTTTCTCCTCCTGGTTCCACTACAGCAGGCACTATGAGTCTGATTGAACCATCAGCTCAGCAGATTTCAGATCTCATGACCAGTGCTGATCTGGCAAAAAGTTCAGCCACTAACCCTGGGTTGATGGCAAAGATTGGGGCCATTGCTGTTGCCATCTCTCTGAGTTCTGAGGAAACTGCTGTGAATCCTAGTGCCGCGGATGCTGGAGCCCAGCTTGATGCCTTGAGCGATGTAAGGTCTTTTTAAAATTATAGTGTTGATTCATTCATTCATCTGTTTTAAAAACTAACTAGAAAATATAAAAAATTTAATTTAAATGGTCAAAGGGGTATACAGTATTTTGTAGCGAGGCAAGGTAGTCAAACAACTATTAGATTTTGAAGAAGTCTTGCTGAAAGCTGCATGGCTTCCTGAGAACAAATGGTAATAAACTGTAGATTAAATCAGGAGAATATACAGCAGTAGATGCTATGTACAGGTACATGTAATATCAAGGACATCCAAAATTCCTTGAGCAATCATGAGTTCTGTATTCAATGAAATATTTGTTGATCTATTATATACAGTACCGGGTCATCCACCAGTTGGTCAATTGACAGTTGTGCAACCGCTGGTCTTCAAGCGCCGGTTGGTCTAACTGCCAGCCAGGGCAGTTCTTGGCCTCGCCAATCCCCAGTCCACCAAACTGCGGTCTGGTCACCCAATTGTTGGGGCACCCAAACAATTGGGTGACAAGAATCATGCTGATTCTTTCTAGTCTGCTCACTGAATTCTGAAAAGAAATCAGCATGATTCTCATCACTGGATTGTTTGGGTGCCCCAACAATTGGGTGACCAAACCGCAGTTTGGTGGGCTGGGGATTGGCAAGGCCAAGAACTGCCCTGGCTGGCGGTTGGACCGACCGGCGCTTGACGACTGGCAGGTGCATGACCGTCAATTGACTGACCGGCGGCTGACCAGACACAATTATATACAAAATGACACTGCTCATGAAAGCAACTATTCAGAGGGGTGGCAAGTCATTTCCATCTGTCACTGTCTACACTCATCAGTAAAGGAGAGCAAATAAAGAAAATGAGCCATGCTTTAACTTGAAGTAACATGAAAATAGAGAGAAACAAAAACAAGGAAAGGTTTACATTCTATACCTTATTATTGTTAGATAATTGAGCTGAGTGAAACCTGAAAACACACCAAGAATGTATCTTGGATAACGCAACATATTTTTTTCTTGTTTCTTTGTGGGACAGATTCTGACATCTGCTTTGACAAGTCAGTCAAATGCAAATATTATTTCACCTGGTGCAGCTGTGGAAGCAGCTTCTTCACTGGCTGCAGTAACATCAGTGCTGTCTGGTGATGATCCCAGAGCAGCCAGTGTTGGTTTAGGTGCTCTGGATGCTGTTAAAACAATTGCAGCTGTGAGTAATTCTTCTCAAATGATTATTTTCACTTTTTTCAATATTGAAAGTTTTACAGGGTATCTCAAGTGTGGTGAATGATCCAATAAACCCACCAAGTTTTGGACAGCTATCTCAGATTGCCAGCTCTTTGATGTCAGCATCTGCTGGTCTTGGATCTGTGAGAAAATTTCAGTCATTATAATGTTTACTCAGTCAAAGGAGGTAACTTGACTAACTTTTTACTTTGAAAAGGCAATGGGGTCAGTAGTGGATAGTGGGAACTGTGATCAAGTTCCAGCAGCAAAGCTACTGAATTGCAGGGCACAAGACAATAAGATGTCGGTTGTTGATGCACCTTTTCCACCTGCTGGTAAGAAATTGATGTTTTCTTTCCATGCCTGTTCTTCTACACAAAATTTCACTTGAGTGGTTTCTTCAATCAGCTAAGATTTGAGTAGGAATACAGTAAGGATGAATTTTCATTGACATTGGAATCTTAATAATCTGAACAATGACTGCAAATACTTCCTCTGGAAAATAATTGTTATTGTTATTTGATTGGATTTAATGGTCAAATTCTGAGGTTAACTGCAAAAAGGATTTGAGAAGTTTTAAAATTTTGTCAACTATAGTACTACTTTTGTCTGGAAACAAATGAAAAAATTGAAGAAAGGTAAAAATTGCTGATCCTCTGAGTCTATAACTGCAGGGTATATGAATAAACATTTCAAGGAATTTCAAAACTATATGTCCATTTGGTCACTCAGTTCCTCTAGAAAAGCTGCAATTCAACTTATTTTTTTCATTTTCTTGATCTCTGAAAAAATACTGTAGTGCAAAGACCACTTAAATTTGAGTTCCTATACATTTAGGGAAAGAAAAATGTTTGAGTTATATAAATCTAAAACAATGCTCCCCAACCCACAGTCTGCAGACCAGCGCTGCTCCAATGAAGATTTTTGCAGGTCCAAGGGAAATTTTTAATCAAAGTATCAATGAAGTCTGTTATCTTTATCTGAAATTTCAGAAAGATGTCAGCTGAAATTATTTGATGAAAAAATTAAAGTTTTATTTTCTTCCAATAACACTTCAGACAAATGTTAACCTACTGAAATAAAGTATTTTAATTTTTCATTTTGAGAAACCTTTCTACAATTCGTCACTTATAATTTTTTAAAGACATTCTTTTTCAGCTGCTTCATGGGCTCTTATTTTTTGCAGATGGTTAGAAAAGCAAAAAATATTTTTAATTACCTGCCAAAAATTCTTTCAAGCAAAACTGTTTCAGTCTGTAAATATTTTATGAAACTTTGTTGGTGTGAAGAAAAGTTTGAGAACATTTTCCAGTTTGCAAAATATTTTTTAATTTTCTGGTCTATAGGCTCAAAACATTTGAGCACACTAATCTAAAATATCCTGTTTGAGAGGTAATTTGGACAGTGACAAACTATGAATTCCACCCTACTTGAAGGTTTTGACTTCCAGATGTTCAAGTTAACATGGTTCAACTCTGTTTAAAGCTGAGCGTCTTTGTTACAAAATGAATTGAATGGAATATTTTCTCTTTATTTTTCTTCAGTCATGGACAAGGTTGAACCCAAAGACCCACAGATGATCATGTGTTGTGCTCAGTATGAAGCCAAGCGAAAAGCATCTGGTGACTTGATGGTTGGCCTCACAGACACCATCAACACCGTTGGTGAAACAATGCTGAAACAAATGGTCGCTGGAGAAACCCAGAAGATCGAAAGTCCCTCTGGTGCCACGTTGTCTGTAATAAAGTAAGATTAACTTGAAGAAGTTTGTTGGTCTAAAAGGTACGCGTTTGCATAAAGACCATCTGATTCTTCATTTCATTTTTTTTAGGAAAACAAAGGCAGAAATTCTGGCAAACCCAATTTCAATCTCGACTCCATCAGGGAATTTGAATATTAAATTCCCTGCTGACATGCCTTGTTTGGATGGAAATTGTGGCTTGGCCATGCCGATAGTCGCCAGTTCTTCTCCTTCGAACATTTTGGTGAAACAAACGGGTTTAATCTCTAAAATTATATCGATTTTTGCATTAATTTTGACATGCCTTGTTTGGATGGAAATTGTGGCTTGGCCATGCCGATAGTCGCCAGTTCTTCTCCTTCGAACATTTTGGTGAAACAAACGGGTTTAATCTCTAAAATTATATCAATTTTTGCATTAATTGAACGATTGATTGCGAGCAGGTTGGAGAAAACTTCCAACACGATCTCGTTAGCGAAAAAAGCACTTTGTTCACCGTGTCCATCTCAGGAATGCAAGTCAAGGATCTGAAATCCCCGATCATTCATCCCAAAGGTAATTGGGGTCCTGGAGTCTTGCAAAGTCCACTGTAAGTTTTTAACGTTATTGCTTCGGTAAACTTACTAAAAATCGTTATGTCGAAAAGAGTCCAGTCGAGTGCTGGTTAATAGAAATTTTTCTCCATTCAGAATATTCTCTGTACTGTGATAATTTTAAACTTGAAAATATGCTTGAAAAATATATTTTGAGTTCTTTTGTTTTTTTTTCAATTGATCGAATATTTTTGGAATCGCAATCAATTAGATCCAGCTAACGAATGCTGTGAAAATATTTTCGATATATATTAGTTTTGTTAGAATGAAGACTGAAACACCAAGATTTTGGAGCATATACAGTATTTTGCAAACTTTTGCAGATTCCAAGTGGAAAAACACACAGGCTGAAATGACGAACACAACAGTCAAGGTTGTTTACGAGGTTGTGGAATTTGAAAATGGCAAAGGAGGAAGCATCATCACAACTTTGGAAACCGAAACCGACATTAGCAACTTGAATCTGTACATTTTGGTTAATCAGGGCTCTTATCCATCTCCAATCAAGGGACAATTCGACGCAGTCAACTCAAAATCTGTTGCCAAGTTGACAAAATCCAATGGTACAGTATTTTCATTTTTTTTACTCAGAAAAATTGAGTAGGAATAATTGATGACTTTTTGTTTTGTTTTACAGGTGCTTACAGCATTAAAGTGCCAATTAATGAGACACGACCGGGTCCAATGTTTTTCGGATTGGTCGAGTTTAAAGATGGAAAAACTTTGGATCAAATTGCTGCTTTGGCTGATTGGGACAACTTCAAGTCTTTTATCAAGTATTTTATTTTTTATAATACAGTGAGACCCCCCACATGCAGACACCTTGACATGTTGACAATTCAACAGAGGGATACATATTTTCCCATAAAAAATTAATAAAAAAGGCCCAACATGAGGACACTGATTCAATATGGGGAAATTTTGCGATAAAATTGCAAATATGTTTCAGGCCAAAGTATAAGAAGCAGATATTTCCAAACCTAAAATTGGTGCAAGAAAAGTTCTTGGGCATTTCTCTCATCAATTTATCATCCATTTAGCTAATTAACCCTTGAGCGGCAAAGTTGGACTATTTTTGCAAAATTTTGTTGCACCTCAGGGCAGAAAATAAAAAAAAGGACAACAGGGATTTGAGGACAGAGTTGGGGGAAAATCCAAAGTTTATTTTCTTTTTCCACAGAAAAATTTTGTGGAAAAAAAATGCTATGCTAAGCAATGCTGGGCTTTTCTGGGATTAATCCTGACTTCACCTCAGCCCACGTGGAAGGTCTCTTCTGACTTTCAGAAAACTTAAAACGCCCCAGCATACAAAAATAATCCAATTTTGGCCGGCAATGGGAGAGAACCCTTTGCCGTCCAAGGGTTAAAATATTATGTCCAGCATAGAGGGACTTTCTTCTCTCTTTTTCACTTGAATGTTATATTTACAGAGAATGCCAACATTTCTATGCACTGTGCAGGGGTATCAGTATTCAATTCCCCAAATGTCTATATTGTGTTGAAATATATTGATTGAATCAGTTTAAATTGGGAGACAATTTTCATTTTCATAGATTTATGGTGAGTACTTTATCCATAAAATTCCAATTAAAAATTATATAATGTGAGTCTAAGGGGAAATGAGACTCAACTTAATTAGGGACATTTCAACTTAGGGACACTCTTGATGCACCAATTACGTCCACACCTCAGGGTCTCACTGTGCAAACTTAATTTCATCTCTGAAATTTAATATATTCTTTCCTACTTTTAAAAAGTGAAAAACTCAACCTGACTTTCAAGCTCTCGTCAACTTTAATGGCTGGAAGTTTCTTCGACACCAAAACGTCCCAGTGGTCAAGTGCTGGAGTCAGGGTATACATTTTATTTTCAAATTTCTCATTAAATGTTCAAACACAATAATATTTGTTTTTTTTGTTGTGGTTGAAAAGATGACAGGATATGCAGACGGATTGGCAGAAGTGGAGACATATCATTTGTCAACATTTGGAGCCGGGCTTTTCGTGAAACCGAACGCAATTGACTTCAGCAACGTTTTCGCCAACGCGGGTTTTTCCGACAATATCACAATTTATTTGACTCTGATCCTCACGATATGTATCTACGTGTCTCTGCTCATTTGGGCTCGTATCAAGGACAAGAAGGACAAAGAAAAGGTTCAATTTTTAAAATCTGAATTCGGTATTGGCTTCAAAATTTTTAAAGTTGAAATTTGAAGGTGGGAGCGTTGCCAGTCGCGGATAATGACCCGAGGGACAAGTACATTTATGAAATCCTGGTGCAAACTGGGGACCAAAACAGCGCAGCAACTGATTCCACAGTCCACGTATTTGTTTCTTTATTTTTGAAATTTCCAAGAAGCTTTAAAGATAATTCTTACGTTGTTTTTGAAGTTTATTTTGAATGGAGACGAAGATGAGACGGAAATTCGAACTTTGGTGGACCCGAAACGTGCCCCGAGGAGAGTCTTGGATCGCGGAGCGTTGGATGCTTTCGTCTTGGCTTGCCCCAGGTTTTTGTTTTGTTTTTAGTGGAAAAATTATTTTAAAATCGAAGTAATTTCAAAAAATGATTGCAGGCCACTCGGGAAATTGAGTTTCTTGCGGATTTGGCACGACAATTCGGGAATCGGCCAGAAAAAGTCTTGGTTTCTGAGCTACGTCGCAGTTCGAGACGTTCAAACCGGGGATGTTTTCGAGTTTGTGTGCCACAATTGGTTTGCAGTGGAAAAGGGAGACGGACAAGTGGGTATAAATAATGCCAATATTTAATTGCACGCACTTTTTACCGAGACATCATCGTCGTGCACATTCTCAAAAACTTACAGTAGAACTCGAAATCAAGCAATTCTTGATGGAAAGTCGAGCGATACGATCGATGTAGGAAATTTCACCGGGGTGATTATTTCGAAGTGCATTTATTCAGTGCATTTTGAACGCAATTGTTTCTTCAATTTTGTTGGAAAATGAGGTTTCGCATCAAAACCGAAGTCTCGTGATTCAACGGTCGATTGTCGAAGGCTTTTAAATATTGATGTCGAACGTGGATTTTTGAAGGCGGTCGATTTCGTGAATTTTATTTTTATTTTTTATTTAGATTAAAAATGAGAAATTGTTTCAACTTTTTTTTCCCAAGATTGAAAGACTGATACCAGTTTCCGGGGATGAGGAGAAGCAGCAGTTCAGCTTCCTCTTCAATACCACGTCTTCGAAGAATCTCAGAGACAATCATTTGTGGTTTTCGGTTTTCATGAGACCAGCAAGAAGCAGATTCACCAGGACTCAAAGGGTCTCCAGTTGTATGGCATTACTGTATTTGTCAATGTTGACAAATGCAATGTGGTATGGAACAATCCCGCAGAAAACGGGACAAGGCACTCTGAAATTCGGCCCGTTTTGCATCAGTCCCGAGCAGGTATAAACAGTGGAATTTTTTTTCCTTTTTTATTCAGGAATTTTAATTATTTTTCTGGTAAATTTGAAGATTGGAGTTGGATTGATGTCGACATTGGTTTGCTTTCCACCAACTTTGCTCATTATCCAACTCTTCAGGAAATCAAGGCCCAGGAAGCTGCGGAAATCTAGGATTGACGAAGCTCTGAAAATTGACGGAAGTAAGCTTTTCTTTTCTCCTTTTTTTGAATGAATCACTTCATTACGCACTATTCATTTTAATTGCTCGGAAAGTAAGAAGCCCACTACTACGTCCTTATAAAAACTTTTTCGGTAATAAGTGAAATTTAATATTAAATCCATGTTTAAACCCTTCTACTTCTAAACAAAAGTTTTGAATCAGAAGCTTTGCTGCAGTAGAAAAAATGATTCTGAATGCAAATTTATTTCCCCATCTTAAATACATTTCAAAGTGCGATTAATTGCGGGAAAAAAATGAGAAAGGTCCAAATTCATCAAATTTTCCGCATTTCTTTTTGGTCAAATTATTCATACATTTTGTCAAAATATTGTATACTTCAGCGTATAGTAGAATCTTGACATTATTGTCACCAATGTTGAGTACAGTGAAACCCCAAAATGCAGAAACCTAGAGCTGAAGACAATTCAAGTTGGGGACACTTGAAGTTTTAAAAAATCTGACCCAGCTGCGTGTAGTAGAATCTTGACATTATTGTCACCAATGTTGAGTACAGTGAAACCCCAAAATGCAGAAACCTAGAGCTGAAGACAATTCAAGTTGGGGACACTTGAAGTTTTAAAAAATCTGACCCAGCATCTGGACAATAACGTAACTGATAGACATTTCCCAAACATTATTGAATTTTTACCTATTTTTATCTAAAGTTTCATATTTGTGGAAGGAATTACGCTGTTTACAGTTACAAATACTAAAGATAAGGGTTAACTTGAATTACCAAAATTCATAATCAAAAATGGGCTAATTTTGTGCATCCATTTTTAAATTCATTTCATCATGCCTCCTTAGCATATCAAAACCTGTTCTTGTTCTTTACTTCTTGAGCTTATTCTGATCTCAAAAGATCACATTATGGGTGGTTTTCTTCTGTTCATTTATTTTCTGTATCTTTTAAGTTGAAAAAAATAAATTTTATTCTATTTTTCTTGAGGCTTTTCCTTAATTATTGATTGAGAGCAGAACCAATTAAAAATATATGTCCATTGAAGTCCATGGGAAAATGAGGTCCAATATGCAGATGTTCCAACATAGGGTCAAGGTTGCTGCACCAATTATGTCCACATCTCGCAATCTCACTGTATTTGGCGCAGTCATGGTCAATTTTTTTTGCACAGATATTCATACACAGCAATCAGCACTATGCAATACAAATTAAGGGAGTAATTTTCAACAAAAAGATTGGTTTAGCTTGAAAATTCCATGAATTAAATGGCTTGATCAATTATTTTCAAGGACAACCAGATCCCAACAGGAAAGGAATTCTGCCAAGAAACAAAAGTTTTTCTCTACCTTGGTGGTGTGTGATTGTGGCGTGGATTTTGGTCATCATTTGCTTCTGTGTGTCAATATTCTTCCTCTGGGCATATGGGATCCAATTTGGCAATGAAAAGGCCACCAAATGGGTGTCTTCTCTCATATTTTCCTTCCTCTCATCTGTCATGGTTGTGGAACCAATCAAGGTGAGGCATTTACCCTTGCTTCAATCAAGGCCTCTTCAACTTTTGGAAATTTCTTTCATTAATTGTTTTTTTTCTAAACTTTGAGAATTTTTTCTCGAGTTTAAGAATTGTTTTTTTTCTTGCATGGTCCATTTTTTACTGTGAATAAATTCATATAATTTGTTTGGAAAAAATTTGAAATCAATCTGTCTGCTTTATCCAGATTTTATGCCTTGCAATGGTCTTCAGTGCAGTTTGCAAAAGTGCTGACACTGCTGATGATGCAGATGAGGATGAAGAAGACCCTGCCTTGGAATGGGATGAGAGTTACCTTCAATATCCTTCAAGTAAGTTTATCAAAATGAGAGACATTTGAGTGAGACCTTATTCCATATCTGAAACAATTTTCATCAACTGACTGACTTATTCTTTGGCTTATGAAGGACAAAAGAGAGAATCAGGGAAATCAAGTATGCAGTTACCGACTCCTGAACAACTGGAAGCAACAAGAAAACAGCGCCAGAATGAAACTAGAATGTGGTCCATGTTCAAGGAAATCTTTTTCTATTCTGTATACCTCACCATTGTGGTCACACTGTCTTATGGAGATCAGGATCCAAATGGCCACTTCTTGCAAGGACACCTCAGGGACTCTTTCACTCATCCAGGGAATAATACTAATTTTGAAGAGGTATTTCTATTCCTTGATATTCTTCAATCCAATTACAGTGAGACGGCAAAATGCACACACCCCAACATTTGGGGTGAAAAAATCAACTTGAGGGCACTTAGACCAGTAAAAATCTGCCCCACCATCCAGACAGTGACTTGAGATACTGGCACTCTTCAAAATTTTCTGACAGAATTCACTAATTTCATTTTTCTAAATTTTCATATTTTGTGAAGAAATTAAGCTACTTATACACATTTGCAAATGTATGAATGAAAGAACAGAACACTTTGCCGCTTTTCAGCGTTCACAAGGCACAACCAAGACTCCCGCATCCAAACCCCCTCCCCACCCAACCCAACTCCCCCCAAAGACATTCAATCACTTTAAAGCATGAAACAAAGGCAAATGTATAAAGTGAATTTCATCATAAAATTAACCTATTTCATGTCAACAACAAAACAGGCTAATTGTGTGCTCCATTTTTCAGTTTTCTCCATCAGGTGTGTTCAGTATAGCATGCCGTGTTCTTGTCCTTTTCTTCTTGAGCTCCTGATTCTAATGCCAAAGGATCAGATTCTTGGTGGTTTTCTTCTGAAAATTTATTTTCTGCATCTTGAAGTAGAGAAAAATTATTTTATTCAACTTCTGAGGGGGGACTATTTCTTAATTATTGAATTACAGGAGAACCAATGGAAAATATTCCCATTGAAGTTTTTGGGGAAATGAGGTCAAACATGGAGACAGTCTGACTCACAAACAAGGCCCATGCACCAATTACAGTCAACCCCTGCACAAAAGACATCCTGCACAACAGCTTTTAGCAGAACAGACCAACGTTGGAGGCAGTTTTTCCTCTTGCATAACAGACAAATCTGCATAACAGAATTCAATCTGTAGATGTGCATGCCACCATCAGTTGACAAGAGTCCCTCACATCCCCCATTCTATTCCTAACTGATTTTGCATAACAGACTTTAAACATAACAGACTAGTCTGTTGCACAAATCAAGTTTCTCCTGCAAAGGTTGACTGTATTTCCACATCTTGGGGTCTCATTGTATTTCTGCAGATGGCTAGAAGGTCAAGCTTTTGCCTGTGAGTTAAAATTATCCACTTTTTACGTAAGTGTAAAGTTACAACAGTCCAGTTAGTTGTTTTACTAACCACCCTCACCCAGTCGTTTCAGAATAAGGTCGTCGAGTCCCGGGTCTTAACCATGTTACCCCTACCTGCTCAAGGACTTGGGGGGTTTTTGGATGATAGATCAAACAGAATGCTTGGTTATGGCATCATTAGACAAGTCAGGGTCAAGAAGAACAGCTGCAGGTGAAAATGAATTCATGTCCATGAAATGAAACCATTCAACCACTTCAATTTTATTTTAACCCCAGGGTTCCCTCAAAAGCTTACCCAACCATCAAGGAATGTGCTGGCTTCACAAACCTCATCAATGAGGAGAAGAAGAATTTTTGTCCTGGATGGAAACCCTGGGCAATTGACTGTGACACTGAGGAGTTCAAGTAAAGTGTTTAAATCACCATTCTTTGAATTCAAAGAGTGATTCCTTTTTTTTTGTATCAAGGTACAAGAAGGCTTTAGAACTGGATGCATTCCCATACACTGGGTCCCTTGACATTTACAGTGGAGGAGGCTATGTCTTCAAGTTACAAGGAAGGCAATCAGAAATCAAGCAAAGATTGCTGGAACTGAGGGACATGAATTGGGCAGACCGATTGACCAGAGCTCTTTTCGTCGAATTTTCCATTTATAATGCTCAAGTCAGTGTTGCTATCTTCAGAAATTTCTTTTTTTTTTAAGGATTCTGAAGCAACTGCTTTTGGTATAAGCGTCCAATTGGAGAAACGCTGTCACGCTTACTGGTCACTCCAGTACGGTCCACCACCTTACCACAGTTTTTAGTCTCGACTACAAATGTCTGACAATGGTGTGCACCTACCCAAGAGTAGAAATGTCATCATCTGTGAAGCAGCCTTTGCAGTATTCACCCTTTACTTCACTGTGCAAATCGGAAGAGGAATCTACAACGAAAGGGGAGGCTTCTTCAGGGTAATTTCAACATTCCTGTTTCCTTCAAATAAAATGAAAATAACCCCAACATTATAGTGACACAGTACATAGAAGAACCCCAATAAAACAACTCTTCATTTAACTTATTTTGGTTTATAAAATTAATTTGTTCCAGTTCCTGCATTAGAGTGGCATTATAATTTGAGTCTTAAATGCTCTTTAAAGCATAATACTGTACTTCTCAGCATAGCAAATGTTTTTTTTCAGTTTCATTGGTTTTGCTGTGAGAAAATCATAGTGTATCATTAAATCTAGAAATCCCCTGAGATTATAGCAATTTGCTGTGCCTAATTTCATTCAGCATTTTGAAGAATAAATTCATCAATTTTATCCATATCATCCCAAGTGGGGAAATTGGTGCACACTGGGGATAGTCTGTAATTCTACACAGTGACCTTGCGCTGTGCACCTGAAGTGTACCAAACTTCTTCTGTTGAACATAATAATAATAACATATCCCTAATGTGCACTGATTGTGTGTTCACACCAGGATTACTCAGGGTCACATTTGTAAACAAATAAGTCACATCAAGGCTACAGTTGGTGCAGTTGCATGATACTCCTGTTCTGTCACGTTTGTGCACCAAGTGTAGCCCTGGAATGGTAGCAAAATTTCCTCTACAGGAGTGCACACTTTTAACCCCAGAATATCCCATATGCACCAGTTGTGACCCTGGTGTGCACCTACTGTGGGGTCACAGCAAAAATAGCTCCCCACTCAGGATGTGAAGCAACGTTCAGTTCAGTTGTTTTGTTTGGTGCAGAACTAGCCCTGTGGAATTTGAATTTATTCTCAGGCATGATATGTAAGTCTTCTGNCAAAATTTCCTCTACAGGAGTGCACACTTTTAACCCCAGAATACCCCATATGCACCAGTTGTGACCCTGGTGTGCACCTACTGAGGGGTCACAGCAAAAATAGCTCCCCACTCAGGATGTGAAGCAACGTTCAGTTCAGTTGTTTTGTTTGGTGCAGAACTAGCCCTGTGGAATTTGAATTTATTCTCAGGCATGATATGTAAGTCTTCTGGAAAACTGTCAGTGGTTACTGATGCACTGGAAAAATCTTGTGTGGTAAAGTTAGCATGTCTTGTCCAATGAAGTAAAGGTACAGATTCATAGAAGTACCAGCAGTTGCATACATAAACATCACAGAATTTTGTGATCACCAGAAACTGCAGGTGATATTTACTTCTGGATTTTTCTTGGATAATTTACCCATTTTGATGTATTCTTCTGCAATATAGAAATACTGGAATCTGACCGAATTGGCCCTGATCATCATATCCTACATCGGAATCGCAGCTTATTTCATTCGGCTGATGATGACGAGCGACATCTTGAACACATTTGAAAAGACGCACGGGAACGGATACATTCGTATGGACAAAGTAGGTGTCGCGCCTAAGCGTACAACATGCGAGTTTTTTTTACTGAATTTCGGATGCACAATCGAAAATTGTTTTTCAAGGTATTGGCAGTGACGGAAACGTACAGTCAAATGTTGGCAGGGGTCACATTCCTGGCCATGATCATCTTCATCAAGTTGCTGCGCTACAACAAACGGGTTTCAGGCCTGGGTCTCATGTTCAAGATCTGCTGGGACGACTTGATCGGATTCGCAGTCATCTTCTTCATCTTCTTCCTCGCCTTCGTCAGCATGTTCTACATGTTTTTCTCGCCGCGATTGTCCGAGTGGAACACGTACATCGGAGCAGCCAGCACGTCTTTCTCGATTCTGCTCGGCAAATTCGAGTTCGGCTCGATCCAGGAGACGAACGTCGTGGCGTCCGTCTTCTTCTTCTTCTTCAACATCGCCATGTCCATCATCATGATCAACCTGATGCTCACGATCATCATCTTGGCATTCGAGCAAGTCGAGAAGCTGCAGCAAGAGTCTGACCAGGATTTCCGGGTCACTGCTTTCATCTGGGCGAGGGCGAAAATATATTTCGGCATCGGCACCGACGTGAGAACTCATCATCATCATCCCGCGGATCCGAAAGACCCGCGACGAAATGTCACGGAGACTGTCGAGCACTCGAAAAGTGTGCAGGAATTTCCGGGGAAAATTGACAAAATGCTGGACTACGTGAACGATATTTACTTCAACGGATCCATGGATATCCATGATAAGGAATGGCTGAAAACCTTCAAGAAGAAGAACAACAAGAAAGGCAAGCGAGATGATTTGGACATGGACTGAGGCCAGAAATGTAAAAACGACGACGGATTTTTCGAAACAGTTCATGTAGTGGATGTTCTTCATTCAGAAAAAAATAATTATTATTTCGATTGGTAGAATTTCCCGAATTTTACAACCGGACCCACCTCGGAATTTATTTTGATGAGGCAAATTATTTTGGTGGTTTGTCTCGTGAATTCTCCGATTTTCTGTTGATCGTGAAGCGATTATTTTTTATGAACGATTCCTTCACATTAAAATTTTTGGTATTGCCAATTCTGATTTTGAGTTTACAATGCACTTGAAATGAAATGAAAACCCCTTGAACCTGTCACACTGCCATGTGAGTTTTTCCTTTTGATCCATACAGTCATAAAAATACTTTCATAAATTATTATTTCTTGTATTTTGTGATTTTATTTTTTGCGGGAAGATGAAGGCCTCGTTATTTTCAGGATGCATTTCCATTAAATCATGGAAGTTTTTCTCGGTTTCGAAAATTCATTGAGATTTAAATCTGCGTTTTCGACGAACTTTTGTATCAACATTTTTAAAATCACGAGTTGTTTAAAAAGTGTTGCGTAAGAACGTGTTTTCTATCTTATGAAACTCAGCGCAAAATAAAATAAATTCAAATAGACACTCAGTAAATATAAGTCAGATGGAATTGAGAATATGTCACAGATGATCGAATTTAAATTGGAAAACATATTTTCCAAAACGAAAACTATTCATATCTTGAGCAGAGGAAAAAAAAGTTCATTGACGCAACTTTCAATCTTTCAAAATGGAAATCAGTCAAAAGGTAAATAATAAGCTTATGAATCTTAAATTATTTCATTCCAAGGAATCGATTGGTTAGAAAATGGTTTTTCGAAAGTTTTCTTTTTTCATTTTTCCTCTCGGAAATTCTGAGTTTTCTTTTAGCTATGAATTTCTCATCGAAAAATACGCAAGAACATAATCAAATAAATGTTCAATACGCCTGAGAAATGTTCTTCGAATTCATACAAAGTCCTATATTTCTGGATTTTTTTATTGGAGTGCTGCTTTTTTTTTTCCTGGGCAACTCGTGTTTTTTCATCACTATTTAAGTCCAAAATTAGAAAAATCTACTTCGAAAAAATGCATAGAAATGTCAATAAATTTAGGAAAGGTTTGTTGAATTCACCAAAAATCGAAGAAATTTTTATTGTATTCATTTTATTACTTTTCTGGACATCCCGGGTTTTCATCCCCAGAAATATTCCGAATCAAAAATTAGCAAAGCTAGAGAAGAAATATTCTGACAACATTTTCCGTTACTCAAACATAAAATTAGCATCAAATGCCTCTGCCCAAATACTTTCACTGCTTCTGTCACACACGAAAAAAAGGGGTTGAATTACGAAAACGACTAAAAAGTCTTCATTAAATTCTTTATCCTTCCGTGCAATCGTCAGGGTTTTTTTTTTTTTTTTTCTAAGCTCACCCACACCACCCATGAAATGCAAATATGGGGCCAGTGGGTAACGAATCCTAATGTCGGCCCAGCAGTTGGGAGTCCTTTTCCCAGTCATTTACCAGATTAAAGCAGGCAAGGTTCCATGTTATAAAACGAAAGGGGTTCTGATGTTTTATGGCAGAGAGGGGGGAAGAAAACGGATCCCAGAAGTAGCCGGAACACGGAGTTGATGATGTTGTAGCCAGAGATTGAGTTTCTCCTCCAACAAAAGCCATGGGACGTGTTTTGAAATAGAATGATGCTTGAAAGGAGGAAGAAAAACAATAAAAAAAACACGGCAATAAAACCCTGTCTCTTTGAGCCACAAGAGAGGAAGTCAGGTTATTACCCACACACAGAAAAAAAAAAAGAAACGAGGCAAAGGCAATTAACGTGTTGAGCATTTTCGGAGCCCGAGTGACAAGAAAAAAGCTCCGAGCCCCCGCATAAAAATGCTCCTCGCAATTATCCGTTTAGAAGACACGAAAAAATTAAACAAAAAAATCGGGAAAAAATGCATGCATATAATGTATTGTATGTGTGTAGGGCCCAGGGGTTAAACGGGGCCCGAAAAATAGGTTTCTGCTGCCTGGCGCCTAGGGAATAATTACGGATTCCGCCCCAGGGGAAACACGATTTTCTGGGGGTCGCTGCTGGATGTCTGGACATGTCGAAAAAACCTTTTCCTGTTCAAATTTTTCAGAATTTCTTCTTCTCTGTTGAGCACGCGTCGATTTATGCCAAGAAAACACCGTTGGTGAATACTTTTCAAACTCAAAAGCCTTTCAAATTGAAAATTTTTGTGAAACGCAGGCCTATCTCCTTAGTATAAGAGTGGCTCATATTAAACTTCCTCAGCTAAAATCTTTTGGATCAGGTAAAATTTTGGGGATTTTACCTGATCTTTATTCTAAAATACAATATGCTGCTAAATTTTGAAACACTTGTTCCAGAGAAAATTAAAATCATAAGTTTGATGTGTCCCACAAGAATTATATTATTTCCTGCAGGTTTAATTCGAAAATGTTTGAATATCTTATTACTTTTCATTTATCAACATACACAAATCAGACCATGGCCAGATTTTGACTAAATCAAAAATATTATCCTGAAGTCAGTTTTCTTGGTGTCCCTTCAAATTCAACTTCATCTATGTCCAATCCATTTTTGAAAGCATCCTGATGATCATTTTATCCTTTTTATGTGGGTTTTCTGGAACAGACTAAACTTTGAACCCAGTTGAATAATGCAAAGGTATCGGAAAATGTAGCATAGAACAAAAGGATGTTCTATGCTAACATTTTAAAGTTAGGCTGGTTTAAAATGGATTTTTTCTTGAGGAGATTAGGAAGGAATTCTTCAGGAATTCAAAATAAGGTGATTTTCTGCTCATAAGGAAATTCTGCTTCACAAGTTTCAACCAGGTATGATGTAATATTAATACATTAAGGCATTATTTCCCAACCTTTTTGAGCCTATACCTTAGGTCCTTGGACTGGCAAATCACATTTACATTTTTTGCAGACTGGCAAATTTTCACAAAAGTTTTCTGCAGACCAGCAACGTTTTGTAAGATTTTTGCAGAAAGCTTCATGATGGTGGGCATTTAAAAAGTTTTTGCTCTTTTTCAAAAATTAAGATCCAATGATGCAGTCATTTAGTGGAATGTTTTCAAAACATTAGAACGGTGGGCTTGAAGAAAGGTTTCTCAGAGGGAAATAATTAAAATAATTTATTTCAAGTGCAATTAAGAGAAAAGCCAACTTATGTTTTCTGTAGATAATTTCAACTGCCATTTGTTTTTCCAAGGTTTCAGATAAAGATAACAGACTTTATTGGTTCTTTCATCTATTTATTATGCTGCAGAACATTTCCAGCAGAGATCAGCCAAAAAATTCTGCGGACCACATTATTATTACGAAATTTTGAATATTTTGGAAAAATTATTGATGCCATGTTTCCAAATAGGAGATTTCTTGGTCGCGTGCCCAGCAGAGGAAGAAGGAAAAATACCCACTTTTCAAGTTGAAAAAAAATTTAAAAAAAACCCACCTTGATTGATTCTCCTGAACCCAGAGGGCTTTTCTTCTCTTTGCCGAAAATTTCCGTTTTTTAGCAGTTTTCACAAAGGCCAATGTGTAGAAGACATGCCGGGAAAATCATGAAAACATCAGAAAAAACCCCCCTGCCGGGGTTTGAGGGAAACCCCCCGAAGCGCGGGTCGATTAGCGGCTCGCGGCCCGCGATTCAAACATAATTACCCCTCAAAGACCGCCGCCTTTTTGTTTTTGCTTTTCTTTCGGGATTTTTTTTCTCTCAAGTGAAAAGGACAAGCCACCACCACCCACGACCCCACCCCATCCCGGTAAAAACCCTCGCGACTCAATTGCATGAGGGTTCCCGGAAATGGGAACTGCTTTGAAACAGAAATGAGTTCAGTATATCACTTGGAAATTGAATGAATTTCTGAAATTTTCGGAACCCAGCTGGCCCAAAATGTCTCAAGAGATTTTCAAGTTTATAGTCAGGAAACGGAATGTTTCTGTGTCTTCAATAATGCTCGAATAAAATCGATTTAAATCGGGTTATATTTCAGAAAAAATTAATTTCTCAAAGGGGTCACCATCATGTAGAGACTCAACGGTGAATAGGACTCATTAAAACAAATGCTTTTTTTTCATGAACAGGTGAAGTTTTTTATTTCAGCCATAATGTGAACTTCATGCAAAAGGATTGAATTTCATCGAGTATATATCGTCCTTTTTGACGGCATTATTTACTTTTATTTGGGCATTGAAATTTAATTCGACGCCTTCCGAGTCTTGAGCTTGCGGAAGAAAAATTTTAAAAAATAAATTCAATGCTGATTTTATCTTCGAATGACAATAAAATTTGATCCTTTGCAAACATGATGAGAGACGTTGCATATCTTCATTGAAATTTCACTCATTTAAAGACCTATAAAAGGAAACAGAAATATACAGTATTTGCATTCTCGTTCAATCCATCAACCGCAAGAATTCCCGAAATTGAAAAAATGTAAACTAATTTAGCCCCACAAAAACGAATCAAAACGAATTTTTGAGGGGTTCCAAAAATGCAGAGGAAACATGCGCAATGTCATTTGTCTTCCCTTGAAGTGAACAAGCAATCAAAGCAACTGGAAAAACCAAGAAAAAAAACAGGTCAACAAGTCCAGAAAAAAAAGGTTTTCTCTTGGTCAGGAGCAGAAAATTAAAAACCTCGCTTCAAGTCCCACATGTGGAAAAAATAGAAAGCAACTACGAATAAAAAAAGAGCAAAAGTAATGACAGTAAAAAAATACTTGAGGATATTCCAAATTCATCCCATGGGCAGTCATTCATTTGCACTCAAACATTTCTTTTTGCCACGTGTCCCTCAAGTACAGTCAAATTTCTGTGTCCACAGCGCAAGTGGCCCCAAACTCATTCTGAACCATACGGTGTAATATTCCATCAATATGAAACAAAACGCAAGAAAGAAGCAGCACAATTTTCTTTATCAGGTTTCTGTCGCATTTCTTTCAGGAAAAATAATTTGCAAACAGAAGTTTTTTGAGGGGATTTAACAGGGAATTTTTTTTGAAATTTTCAGATCCCGTTTTCTGATGGGTGTAGATTTTCAGATATACCTGCATATTTTGCTTCAAATTTCAAGTAGATATTTTAGTAAAATTTCTGAGGGTTAAAAGAAATCATGGTATTACTTGTGGAATTCATAAATTTATCCGTATGTCCTGAAACATGAACTGTACCTTAGTCCGAAACCCTAAATAATGCTTCTGCATTAAATTATTAAAGCTTGTCTGGAAATAACGTCCAAAACCCAGCCCCGGAAATAAATCTAGAACCACGTGCCTTCTTCTCATCAGTCCCAAACCCAAATTTACAATTAAAACGTTTGGGAAGAACCCTGTAGGGNAAAAATTGTCTCCCAATTTAAACTGATTCCAATCAATATATTTCAACACAATATGGGCATTTGAGGAATTGAATACTGATACCTCTGTACAGTACATAGAAATGTTGGCATCATCTGCAAAAATAATATTCAAGTAAAAAAGAGAGAAAGAAGTCCCTCTCTGCTGGAGGTAATTTTTTTAAATTAGCTAAATGGATGGTAAATTGGCGAGAGAAATGTCCAAGAACTTTTCTTGTATCAACTTTAGTGTTGGAAATATCTGTTCTTGTAATTTGGCCTGAAATGTATTTGCAATTTTATAACAAAATGTGCCTATGTCAAATTTTCCGCGGGTCGAGGTGTCTGCATGTGGGGGTCTCACTGCATTTTGAGCAAACCAATAATCCTTTACAAAATTTTGCTGGACTCAATTAGCAAAAGTAAAGGTACCCAAAAAAAAAGGTTCGAATAGTGATTGATTAATGTCCAAAAATGTGTTCAACTGAGCAATTTTCACAAGTTTTCATCCATAGGAAGAATCTACGCAGAGAAATTTCGGGGCGAAATTTCAGAGTGGGGGGAAAAAGGGGGGTGAGGAGTGGGGCGTGAACTTCACGAAGGACCCTTGTTCTTGTCTAAATAAAAAACACACACACACATCCACTCAAACACACACACAAGCCAGAACGCTTGTCAATGCTGGTAATGAGACTCGGAGTAATGACTGGCGCTTTCCTGAAGGGCAATTAAGCGCATTAGGCGACGGTCGTGATTGCAGTCGCGCCCATTTACGGGGGCCCCGAAAAAAAGCGCGTTTCTGCCTCGTCGCGGGTTCAACTTTTTTCTTTTTATTATTTCGAATATTCCCACTTTCCTTAAATGATTCCGAGGGCAGGTTGTTGTTTTTTTTTTATTGGTTTGTATTTATCTATACGACGAGCATCATTTAACAAAGTGGGGTTCGGAAGAGATGCGTTACACGGACATTTGCATGCGTAATGCAGAAAGGGAGGAAACTCCTTCGATTAAAACGGCACGCAAGCGAGGGATGAGAGAGAAATTCAATTTTGAGCGGGTGCGGGTTCGAATGTACCCGCCGACGAATGAACGCCAAACCTATACCACGCAGCATGGAAAAATGGGTTATTTCTTGCACAAATACCGGACAGTGCTGGGACCCCGAGATGCGGACATACTTGGTGCTTTAAATTAGTCCCTGCGTTCGAATGTCCACTTGTTTTAGACTTGTTTTACCATTTACCTCTGTAGGAACATTTAAATTTTTTTTCTCCTGAATATCGATAATTAAGAAAATTTATCTCCGAAAGCAGAAGAAAATAATTGTTTCTAATTATAAATTTACAGAAAATCAATGTGCAGAGAAAAATAACACAGAATCTGATTTTTGGCATCCAAATAAGCAGCTCAACAAGCAAAAAGGACAAGAACAGGTTTTGCTATACTACTGAGCACACATGATCATAAAAAGTAAAGAAGAGAAGCATAAAAGTAGCCTGTTAAGGTTTAAGAATCAAGGTAATTTCAAAATTAACTTTATTTTCATCATTTGTAAATGTAAATGGCTAAATTTCTTGAAGAAATCTGTAAATTTAGAATAGTAAAATTTTGAAATTTTCCATAGATATGCTCAAAAAGTGTCCATGTGCTGTTGAGATAGTGTCTTGATGTTGGGTCAGATTTTTATTCCCCAATTTAATCTCCAAAAGTCTTGATTGACAGACCTGAGCTTTCAAACCAAAGGTCTGAATCCATTTAAAAAAGAAAAAGGAATGCACCAACATATTTGCACGTGCAATCAGTCACAAATATACGAGTGTATATTCACTCGTAAGTGTATAATTTCACACAGATTCAATTTCACACCCAGTATCATATTTTCTAAAATCTTGAAGCTTCAGCTGAGTTGAGTTGGCAAATAACTGCGTTATAATTTCGCTGAATTGTCAGGAATATTTCATGTTGAATTACAACGCACATTCCGATTTTCAGTCCAAATGTTTCGATATTCAAATGTAGAGGTAATCTTTAAAAAAAAAATTATCAACCGTACTTTAAGTAGGTTTTGAACTGACTCAAAAGAAAATTAATCGTTTGCTGGACATTTCTACTGAATAATGATGAATGAGGAAAAAAGTCACCTTTTGTGAAGACATAAAGAAATATGATTTGCATATATACATGGGCCATTTCTCATCACCGTATTTCGGACATTTTATTTTACCAATTTTCACATCGTTCGTTTTTCCAATATTCTTTGTATATGACCACTTCTGTGCCGAACGAAAATTTATTGCATAATTTTCTTTATGATTCCAGCGTTAAATTTCAAATTCTGTTCCAAATCAGTATTGCAAAAATATGACATTAAATATCCCCTGAACATTCAACTGTTTTTCTTCTTCTTTCATCTTGAAGTCAGATACAATCGGCACTGTTTTGTCGGGCCTAGTTTTCAACCCGGGACCCTGCTCTGAAAGAAGAATCTCTCTGAAAGAAAGGAATAAGATTAAAACGATAAAATTATGCTTGAAAGAAAAGAAAAAAAACAGTCTCTCTCTCCTGCACATGCATCAGAAAGGCGAACACCTACGGAAATATTTCCCTGCAAGTCGCGTTTGTCAGTCAAGACGATCCGAGCCAGAGAGTCTATTAGCACGCGAAGGTGAGTCCGATCAATCATTCAAACTCACTTTGCAAAGCTGCAACGATTACCAGGCACTCACGGAAAAATAAATGAATAAATTTTAAAAAAAAAGGAAGAAAGAAAAGGCAAAGCGTAAGGAAAACATTCGAGCGAGTCTGGTGGTCGTAATCTTGTTAAAAATCCGTCAACTCTCTGACAAGCAATTTCTTGCAACGCAATCATTTCCCATTCGAAAAAGACGAAAAAAAATCCCCTCAGAGATGGAAAAGCAAAAATACAAGTATCTTCTCTTGCACAAACAACCCACTGTGTCCGATTTTTTTTTCTTCAGAGAAAGAGCATCTTTGCACAGATTTCAATCACCAGAAAACTCCGTAAATCAAGCACAGGTAATCTCGCGTTCTTCAAAAAAAAAAATGCTGATTACGAAATAAATAACCCTTCGTATAACCCCCTGAAAGGCCTTAAATCATGGAAGTTTCTCACTCTGAACTTGCGGAACTCAAGCAGGTACTTGATTATTTCGCCTTGGAAGTACTACTGAGAGCGAGAGGTGAATCAGCCATTTCTATGCTTGATTATCTCTACAGGGTACTGAACGCGTTAATGCACTGTTGTGGCAATCAATTGTTCTCCTGATGACCTCGGGCTTTCCTTCGTGTTGGATAATTTGGAGACTTGATAGATTTTATTGGTGAGAAACATTGCTTATGACGGTGAACTGGAAAGTGTACCTACACTTTGGTTCATTGTTGAATACGCTAAAAAATATTCATATTGACTGCGTCTTAAAACTCTGGAAAAATCCTGCTTTGTGTGAAAAAATTTTCTGGCAATGGTTTTTAAATATTATTAATTCATGAGAGAAAAGTTCTTTTTAATCTTTGATCAAAACATCAAACTTCAACAGCACAGTGACAAATGATTTGCATAAAACTATCCACATAACATACAGTGGGCGCAAGGAATTATCGAAACTACAGTATGTCCAAAATTCATCCAAATGAGTTCTACATCAGACATCCTTTGGAGAAAATGATCTCATAAACTGTGCTTTGGTGAACAAGTTTGGAAAATTTGTCTGCCAGAGCATAAACTTTTTTTTACTGGTGGACAAGTTTGGAGAACATGTCTGCCAGAGCACAAACAACGAGACTCTGGCATCAGAAATGTTTGGACAAGCTCTCTAAACTTGTCTGCACAGTGTCACTGGTGCCAGGAACTTGTGGACAAGCTTGGAAAACTTGTCCAGAAGTTCTCCAAATGGTGGACAAGTTCTCCAAACTTGTCTGCAAGTTTGGAATTCTGCTCATGAATGTAGGTTTATATGCTGGTGCCAGGAACTTGTGGACAAGTTTGGAGAACTTGTCCACAAGTTCTCCAAATTGTGGACAAGTTCTCAAAATGTGTACACAAGTTCCTGGCACAAGTGTATAAGCCTACATTCATGAGCGGCTCCACATATAGTGGGCTGTAGCTGTCTGCCAAAGGGGTTCAACTCCCCAGCAAGAGGTCTCAGGTTTAAAGCCCACTTAGGTAGCAAATTATATGCTCCTCCAATGATGCTTGCAATAAAATTCCAGCATATCAAGGTCAATTAATTATTAGAGTACCTCCTTAATTAACTATTGTCAGAAAAGAGCTAGAGTAGCATTCCATGGATTGGTTATAGAGGTAGGTTACACAGAAAAATACTCAATATATAAATTTGCACATCAGTATAGAATATTGAATAGCTATGTATGGTATTTGAACAAGCTAAGTCCTGTGAAGAGGAATGTCAGCTCTCCATGTTGGCAGGAAATTTTATATAAATCACTGTATGCTTAAATGAAAATATATATAGGTTTTGGAGGGAATTTGGACATCTTTTGGATAAAAATCATGCATATTGTCCAATCTGTATCCAGAGGTTGTCCCAGATCCCTCCAAAATGTAATCCAAAATGTATCCACCCAAAATGAATCACTTTTGGATGACTTTTGGATCAACTTGGACATGTCCAATTTTCATACAAAGCAACTTCTCCAAAACTTGTCCTTTTTGGCAAGATTCTGGGATAAGTTACTTTGGATGAATTTGGAAACCAAAATGGACATTTCTGTGATCACTGGGCAAATGCATGAATTTTGGACATTTCTGAGATAAAACCTCTTATTTCTTGTAGGAATTTTTGACAAAAAAGATTGACTTTCCTTTTCTTTCATCAAAGATTAAAATTCAATATTTCTGTGGTTCACAGTTTCATATGACTCATACTAACTTTTATACAGTAGAACCTTGCTGTATAAAGTCCACCCCCCACGGCAATGGCCTCTTCATATCACATTTCTATTCCTTATTTGCATTTCCTCAAATTAATATAATACTGTACTGTATACGCAGGTGGTACCTTTCAATTCAACCTCCCACAATTCAATCATTCCACAATTTGACCATCAATTGTGTATTTGATGGTCATTTGTAGTCATATAAAACAATAAATGAATCAATTTCTTTTTTCAATAGCAGAATTGAAAAAAGAGAAAGATTTTCAAAATCAAAAAGTCCTACTCTTTCCTAATATTTGTTGTTTTGGATCAATTTTGTTTTCCCCCCACTAAAATTGTGCAATCGTCTTCAAGCCGTTTTCTCAGGCTTACATTTTGAATCTCGCGTTTCTTTTAATCTCTGAAGCATTGTTTCATCAAGATGAAAATTTCTCCCAAGGCCCAATGAGAAAAAATGAACAAATAAAAATACGAAAAGAATTTAGTCCAAACTAGATTACTGCTCGGGCTCTCTCAGGAAATAATCGCTGGTAGCCGACGATGATGCAGATTAAGGCCCTGGCAGCCATAAATTAGAAAGTAATAAATAATTATACAATAAAAAAATAATAAATAAATAAAAGATGAGAGATACATTGCATGGAATAATAATTCCTGAGGCATGTGAACACGAAAAAGAAAAGAAAAAGAAGGGCCAGAGAATCTCGCAGGGGTATGGACACAAAATTAGCTTGCCCCGCAACATTGTCATCGCACCCGGGGGTTGATTGGGCTCGGATGACGCAGCTGAAAAAAGGGCGCAGGGCCGGCTTCTCAGCTCCCGAACTTCATCTCCCATGCATTGCACTCATTACAACCGACCATAGGAGGAATCATTCTTGGTCTTGCAGGGACCCACGGAAATTTTCTTCTTTTGTGCCTTTTTTTTTTAAATCTTGGTGAATGTAGAAATATCTTGGAGCCTTTCATATCTCACCAAGAATTCACCTTTGACTCTGATTGTAACCCTTCGGCGGCAAAGTTGGACTATTTTTGCAAAATTTTGTTTCACCTCAGGGAAGAAAAGAAAAAAATGACAAAAGGGAGCTGAGGACAAATTTGGGGAAAATCCTGATTTTTTTTGCACAGAAAAATTTTGCAGGAAAATAAAAAAATGTGATGTTAAGCAACAGGCTTTTCTTGGATCAATCCCAACTGTGCCTCAGCCCACCTGGAAGGGCTTTTCTGACCTTCAGAAAACTGAAAACACCCCAGCATATGAAAATAATCCAATTTTGGCCAGCAGCAATGGGAAAGAACCCTCCACCGTCCAAGGGTTAAATAAAGGTGCCCTTGATGTGTAACTTGTGTTGTGCTGGTTAACATGCATGTTTTCTGTGCCCAGAGTGCAATCATTTTGCACTTGGAGCAGGGCTCACCAACCTGTGTTCCACAGACCAGTAGTGCCAGTCCAGCACAGACGTTTTCTGACAGTCCATGGGGGATTTTCAACATATAATTTATTAATTAAAATTAGCAATGACGTCTGTTATCTTTCTCTATAAATAGTCTGAAATTCAAGAAAGTTAATGTCATTTAAAATTATCTGATGAAAAAATAAAAGTTTGCCTTCCTCCTACACTTCATGCCTTTTCACCTGCTGCTGAAATAAATTATTTTAATCTTTCATTCTGAGAAACCTATCTTCAAGCCTACCTTCTTATTTATTATTACTGAAATTCAGCTATAGCTGCTTCATTGGGGCTTTACTTATTTTTTTAAATGCAATAACTTTTAAATAAATGTCAGAAAGTCTTTCACGCAATATTTTTCGAAAGTCTGCAACACATTTATGAAATTTACCCCCAATTTAAACTCGAATAACAAACATGATCAACATTTCATTCATCATGTTTCTGCAGTAATAAAAACAACATGACAACATTTAAGATGAGCTAGTGCAATCCAAGTAACAGATTTTTAAATAATCAAATTCCATTTCACAAGATTCGCTGCAGTATTCAAGAACATACTGCCTGCCGACTCAAGAAAAGGGGTTCATGCCTCAAATAACAAAGGCAAATTGTTTCAAGAATGCATTATTTGCTATGTAGAGCATTTTTTTTATGTGATGCAACACCGAAATTTAAACATGGTAGGGTCTTGTGGGACTTGTTATTGAAGGGATTTTTTTTTTGCATTTTGCACAAACCAAATCTTCAGCCTGTGGCACGCGGATCGTTGAGTAAAAAATTTAGTAACAACTAAATTCACTCATGCACACAATTTTCTTCTGGAAAATTGAGGCAGAAAACGAGGGTATGCAGGTATTTAATTTTTGACAGAAAATATGATCAAATAAAAATTGTTCAAGTCAGATGTTAGTCTCAGGTAAAAATATATATATATACTGTATATGTATATGGGTAGAAAATTTTTTTACCCCAATATTGAATCGATTATTCATGTATTTTAATTTTGTTATTCTTGAGGTTGCTTTCGTCAAGAGAAAAATTATTATTCGATGAACAATAAGTCTCGATATTCAGCCAACATAAACTGGTGTGCGGGTCTCATCTCTTGCATACGCAGGAACAGGGTTTTGGACAAATTTTGGGCCAAAAAAATCGAAGACAAATATTTCTCAAATAATATTTTCGCAGCAGCTCCGCAACACTGATGAAATAAATAATAAAAGTCTTTATAAGCCTTGATCGAAAATTGAGTGTCCCGGGAATACCCAGTGGCTGCTATGGTGGTACTCATTC